GACTCAAGCGATCGACAGGAAAGGAGGCAGTTACAAAAAAGTCACCATGACCCAAAGCGGCGACAACATCATGTGATAAAGATTGACACCACATGATGGACCAACAGAAACAAAGAATGAAATCGCGAGTGTGAAACAACAAATACTTCCAATCGATCGCAATGTAGATTAAAGTTTATCAGGCTGGGAATAAGAAATTAAGACGGGTGATAGGTAGAAAAAGTAAAGAGTGAAAAATAGTATTAAAAATTTACTGAGACAGAAAAGTCCTGATGCATGTATTTCTCGAACTAAATGGAGGGTGTGACCGGATGAGGCCCATATCGAAAATAAAAAGATGTTCAGTGACAGTAGCCATGTTCCTCTTGGTGGCTCATCCCAGGTAAGCCCATTTGAGGTAATTTAGTGTACTATCGTGATGGAACATAGTCGACAGGATTTGGAAATGGGAAACAGTAACATGGGAGAGTTATTCTGGAACATAATTAGGGTTAAGAAGAAAGGGCAGATTTTTATGAGCGTATAATGAAATAACGAATAGTAAATTTACCTAATGTGGCAATATTGTGTTAGATTATCTTTATTAACATTTAATGGAAATAGATAGGTTAGTTTGTAAGTGTACTAGGATGGATAGCTCAACGGAAGTGTGCAGGTAGTGACAAGGCCTGTTGTCCGACAAAGCTTAAGATGGATTTTTTGTCTGTCAAGTATTTGATTTTGTCATGATTATTGATATTTCTTGCTTAATGGTTGATTAATGTAGTAACGTAGAAATACAACCAAGTTTGGGCTTATTAAAATTAATTATTTGTTTATTTTTCTAGAATAATATTCAATTAACAGAGCACATCTGTTCAATTTAAGTATTTACTTCTCTTGTGATCATTATTTTGTGTAATATCAAATTGATTTATCAACCTGAGATATTAAATGATTAGTTTGATATTTCGTTTGATAACATTTGGTTCATTTACATATAACTTATTTTTTTAATGTTGATTTTGTTTTTGTTAAGTTTCATGACGGATGATTATATAACTGTGAGTCATAACTGTCTAGTCGTATGTATAGTCTCAAGATCCTAATGATGCTTTGTATGTTTTTGTTTGATATGATCTTTGATATTGTGATTTTATTGCATTACACTAATAATGTATCATCAATTAATAAATGTATTGATTTTCATAAAGATTTACCTCAATCCTTGAATTACAATAATTAATATAATTAATATTGTAACTTTGAAATACACGAATAAGTTATTTAAAGTACACCATAATTATTGAGAGAACAAATATTAATCTAACATAATGTCTTAATACTGAAAAGCTTGTAATGATACAATACCCACAATACAACACGTACGCTGAAGGAGGAAAGAAGAGAGAAAGAACGAACAACGAACACACACACACACACACACACACACACACACACACACACACACACACACACACACACACACACACACACACACACACACACACACACACACACACACACACACACACACACACACACACATACATACACACACATATACACACATATACACACATATACACGTACACACATACATGTACATGCATGCATGTACATGCATATACACTTACACTGCACACACACTGTAACACAATACAACACATACACACATACACACACACACACACACACACACACACCACACACACACTACATACATATGTAAATTTCCATAGACCAATACATAGTGTTAATACATTCAAATGTATCGAAAATGTGCATCGGCCGGGAATCGAACCCGGGCCTCCCGCGTGGCAGGCGAGAATTCTACCACTGAACCACCGATGCTACAATCTGCAGACGAGAATTAAAAGAAATTATTCATATTTTGTCTAATTCTTGTAAATCATACATTATCATGATGTTTTAGACGATACAAATCTTAATAGTATATATTAGTTTGTTCTTACTAAACTTAAATATCACTTGTTTCCGTGGAATAGACTCATACAGTTACTTGTTTGGGACTCAGACCTGAGTGATTATGATGTTAAGATAGCACAGCAGGTAGAATATAAACGGCAATAAGAATGGAATCAATTAATGAACTGTTCTTCCTCGAGGATGTTTTATATTGCATATGGAAATCGTGACCCATACATAAATTGTACAGTTTGTGTGTGTGTTGAGCTTATTCGTTTATAATTGAAACCGATGTGGAATATATCCCGCACGCATACACATACACAAGCATTTGCAAGCCCTTATACCCCCTGCCCAAGCTCCAAAGGCACCCAACCCATAAGAAAAACAGTCAGCTTTATTAGTTAGCTTTGTTTTAGCATAGTCCTACCTTCATTTAGATTTCTTTTCTCGCAACATTTTCTTGCTTTTTAGGGCAAACTCGCATATAAATTTCTGATCCCAAAGTTATTTTCATTTCGTTCATCGGTTACGCCTCTCCCTGTAAACTTTTATGATTAATTTAGATAATCACTATAATGAAATAGCTATA